ACGCAACCCAAACCATTGTACGAGGCATCGCTATAAATTATGAATCCTTCTGTTCCCGTAGGGAGTGCTAGTATAAGAGCTATTACAAGTTTGTTTTTCAACTCTTGGAAGCAACGTTCCTGCTTGTCCGTCCATTCAAAGGGTGTGTTCGTTTGAGTTCGTTGGGTCAAGGGTGATGCTATCTTTGAGAAATCTTGCACGAAGCATCGGTAATAGCCAGCTAGACCCAAGAAACTTTGAATTTCTAACACGTTAGTTGGTCTTGGCCAATCCACGATTGCTGTAACTTTTTGTGGATCAACCGAGATGTCATCCTTGTTAATGACGTGACCAAGGAAGTATACACTAGTGATCCAGAATTCGCATTTCTTTAACTTGGCATAAAGTTTGTGATCACGTAGTGTCTGTAGAACTCTTCGCAAGTGGTGTTCATGATCTTCTGGTGATTTGGAGTATATGAGAATGTTGTTGTAGCTCAATTTTCGTGCTCATTTCGGATACGATTAGCCCTACAGTTCGGACTCTCGCGGTTCTGAATCTAATCTCACAAATACAATGTGAAATAGACAAAAGAGTCTAAATCCGGCAAATCTTTTGGAAAATCAATTTTGAATCAAATTGCCAAAATTGGATTGCTTTGCCAGATACAAAGTTACTACCTAAATATTTTTAGAAAATTTAGGAAACCCATGACTTGTGCCAAAGGCCACGTGTCCGTTATCACTAAGATTGTCTCGGCTCGGGAACTTAGGTACGAGGGGGAAAGGTCATAAATTGAGCACCCCCGCTCGCCCGACCAAAGATCGGCCTCTACTAATCATGATGTGATTCTTATTTACATTGTATGCTCTTGTTTCGATTATTAGGCTAACTTTACTATGTGATGCGCACACAAGTATAGACTAATTTGTAAAAATTGGAACATTTGATTTCATGTTTGTTTTTTAAAAGAGTTTGTGAATGTGCCACTTGAAAAAGTGGGCTCAAATGTATATTAATAAAACTATCCCAATTCAAGTAACTAGCCTTTATCCACAGGCATTCAAATAGTTTATCATTTAAGCACTTAGCCTCATTGTGACAATCCAACTCTGGATTATGCTAATTAATCTTAATTATGCTTATAATTATGAGCTTGATATGATCTCGAATGCTAATTATATAATTATATGTGTTTTTGAATTTCTATCTATTCACTGTAGGAAAATCTGTTTGATTTTTTGTTAAAAAATTTAAATCGAAGACTGTAGAGGCATCATAAACTAGAATTGACTGTATTTTTGTGATTAGCATGATTTTTAGAGCCTATGGTGAGATTTAATTAAAAATTGATTCAGATCGAATTAATTTGATTAAATTGATTTAATCAAGCACAATTAATGTGAAAACCCACATTTAATTATTCTATAATAATAATAATAATAAAAATAAATAAATAAATAAATTAATTTTATCCAGAGTTTATTTGAAATATATATTAGTGTAAAAGTTAGTTTTAAATTAACCCAATTCAATCACTAATAAAGACATTATTAAGAATAATAATTTTGTGGGTGTTCAATATTTGTTGTTTATAAATTATTTTAATTAGGATTCAACATGATAATTATTCTTACTAAATACCTTAGTTAAAAATCTTACTATATCAATTTTAAGCAACTCGTACAAATACACAAATATATATATATATATATATATATAGCAGATTTTCGGTGACAACTTTGCCACATGTTTATTTGCATGTAAATATAGGAACTCTCACTTCATCATAATTCTTGGGTTGAGAAGATAGAAAGTGACAAGAATGATGAGGAGAGAGAGAGAGAGAGAGAGAGAGAGAGAGAGAAGCCTCAGTCAGCATGTTTATATATATGAGCATGCTACTCTTGGAGTAAAGAAGGTAAAGTAAACTAAGAAAAAGAAAATATGCGAAGGAGTGAGTTAACAAGGGGAGGAGGTTAAGAAGGTTTCATATTTTCCTACCATTTCACTATTCCATTTCAATACTACAACTTAGTAAGAAAACCCTCTCAACCCTCTCATTTTTTTAAGTGTTAGAATTTTCAGATTATATTCATATGATAAATTGACTAATTCATAGATAATTCTTTTTTATATGTATATAAATTTTGTGATGTGTATATCAAATATTTGAAGATATTGATAGTTTTAAAGTCATGGTATTATTGTGAAAATAGGCTTGCATGTGTAGTTTATGCCATTCAAAAATGATCACTACAGGAAATGTTTGTTTTAATGGCGTTTATATAATGGCGTTTTCTTAAACGTCGTCTTTTTTAATATTTAACGGCGTTTTATAAACGTCGCATTTTGTGCTAATCAAAACGGCACCGTTTAGCTGATAGAAAATGCCTCCGAATGTGTTATAATCTTTCACACCCTCTCCCTCCCTCTTGAGACTCTCATTCTTTACTCTTCAGTCTCAGAAAGAAGATGCCTCAAATCTCTCGCTCACTCACTCGCTTCAGCTTGGTGATCCCTTAAATCTCAGAGTGATTTCGGAATAGGAATCGATTGGAATAATCTCGGTGATTTAATTTGTTTACCTATTCCATTTACATAGAAATCACTGAGAGGTAAACCTATCTACATCAAGCTTTAGAATCGATTTCATTTACTGAGAGGTAAACCTATATGCATCAAGTCGATCTGCATCAAGCTCAGTGATTTTGATTTCAATTTCATTTTTTTTTCTCTCTCGCTCATTTTCACTCTTCTTTGTCACCAGACTCATCTCTCTCTCTCTCTCTCTCTCCCCTCTGCCGATCTCATCCACACTCACCACCGCTGCTGTCTTCTCATTATTGCCTCAGATCGACAGCTACAGTGGTGGAAGAGGATGGCGGTGGTGGTGCTCGTTGAAGAAAAGAACAAGAGACGAGATCTGAAGGATTTCGAACTAATTAAAGCCAGATCTGAAGGTTTCAAAGAACACCTGATCCAAATATGGGGGTTTCGAATCAGATATATTGGTAAGCTCCTTCGAATCCTTCCGTTTTCAGTAAAAACCTCTTTTCATCAACTTCTATATATGTTTGTGTATGTGTGTGTGAGAAAGTGTTGAAGAAGAGGCTGCAGTGTTCTTGATTTTCCCCCTTTGTTTCTTGAATTCTATAAATCTCACCAACAACAATGGTCAAGTTTTATGTTTATGTTCTCTCTCTCTCTCTCTATATATATATATATGAATATCCACATATCCAAGATTTGTATATTTATATATTTGTTGTTTGTTGTTGTTTCAGTTGCTAATACAATTTTATAATTAAAAGGATTTAAATACACAATTTTAAAATTAAAAAAGTAAAATAATAGTCAATAATAATTGAGAGATTATTCATATGATTAACCTTTAAAAGTTGAAACAAATATGTAGTCATGGCATTTAACATCATGAATTCACTTCCACTTTTGAGCTTTTTATGGCTAAGATAAGATTAAATGTTCTCAATCAAAATAGACTTTATCAAAGTCAGTCATTGAATCACTTACATGAGATTTTTCCAACAAAGTAAGAGGCATCATTAGAGAATTGACAGTGTAGAAGTGTGTAATGCTTGGTTAGTGTAGAAGTGTGTACTCGTATGATTCCTTGAGATTACACACATGCCTACTTAAGGATTGCTAGTCTTTAGAATTTCAACATAAATGTGTTTTGAAATCTAAATGGTGTTTTTGTATTGATGTAATGGCTGTTGGTTTTTGAAGCAGATTCCTTGTCCTCTCTTTGTAGTTTGTTTTTGCTAGTCAATAAAATTCTTCATTGCCGATCAAAAAAAAAGTTGTGTTTTAAATCTAATCATTGTTTAAGTGTTGACTCCCATAAGGGCTCAATCAACAATCCATCTATATCTTTATATGATGCTTATTAGTAGGTTTAGTGTTAAACACTATCCGATGAAGAACTTCCTTTATTGATAATAATTGCTCCTAGATAGTGCTACTGCCTTGGAATCTAGGGAGGAATAAATGGCATCCTCTTTTTTCTTAGATTATCGACTTTAGCAGTTTTCCATAAGTTTTGGAAATTATGTTATCCAAACGCGCTAGAAGTTTAACTTGTAAGTTCTGATTGGGATTACTGTATGGTTGTCCCATTGTTTGAGAAGTGGCATCCTTCTGTTGTTAAGAAAATGCAACCTCATTGTATATGACACCTCTGAAAGGTGGGTAGAAAATGTAGAATGACTAGGAATGAGAAAAGGGATGAGCTTCTCTGTTATAAATCTATTACACGGAGAGATAGCTGTGTTCTACAGACTAGCCTAGTGAATTTTCACAGTTCCTTAAAAATGGAAGTATAAACATATTGCATGATCTAAGCTGTATATGCAAACTGTGCTGACATTTGCCACTGCCTTTTTACTTAGTGTGGCCATGTGTTGTTAAGAAGTTATTCGTTTACTATGTAAATTTTTGTTTGTCTGTAAATAGTCCCTGTTTAGAGTTAATATCCAGCCATGCTTTGTCAATGAACCAGGTAGGACCTGCTCCTGCTCTAATTAAGGCTGAGGTGCCATGGTCAGCTCGAAGGGGAACCTTCTCTAATAAGGATCGTGTTTTGAAGATAGTGAAAGGGTAATTTATTCTGAAGATCTTTGTATGATTTCCTGACACCTATGCAATCAAGTGATTATCACTTGCTATATTGTATGGATCCTTCTGAATGTTTAGTGTCTATGGTGGACACTAATAATATTCCTGCAATTTAGTTAATTTCACTCAGTCGAGAACCATTTTTTTTTATATCAATTATTAAGGTTTTGAAATAGTTTATCTCTACTCTGTGTATTTGATATTATAATTTAATTCTGTCTCTGATTTAATTTAGTTAATATTGTTTTTGATTGCAAGAACAAATTGCTGGCTCTAGTAACTAATGATCTCATGAATGTCAGTTGACAGGAGTTTGCAGCTGAAGAATTTTTTTTCTTGTTTTTAAAGTTAGCATATATGTTGAATGTCATTTCATATCAATTATGCATGCCGACTTCTGTCGTCGATTGCTATTTAGGATACTGAATAAGCCGACTCCAAAGAAGTTTGATCTTCTCAAGAGACAGCTAATTGATTCTGGCATCACAACAGCTGATATTCTGAAGGTTCCTCTTTTCTGTTCTTTTTTTTTTATTTTTTAATTTTTAATTTTGTTTTTACCCCTCCATCCCCAAACCTCCCAGACATGGATTGGGGAATTTTCTTAATTATAATTTTACTTTCAGTTTGGTTTTTAAAGGCTAATGCAGATTCTGCTTGCAATGCACAGGAGATTATCTCCTTGATTTTTGACACGGCAGTGCTGGAACCAACATTTTGCCCCATGCATGCACAGCTGTGTTCGGATCTAATTGAAAAGCTCCCTCCATTCCCATCAGATGAACCTGGTGGGAAAGAAATCACGTTTAAGCGAGTCCTATTGAACATCTGCCAGGAGGCATATGAAGGCTCTAACAAACTTGGGGAAGAAGTAAAGCAGATGACTGCTCCTGAGAAAGAGTCAGAACGTAGAGATAAAGAAAGAATGGTCAAACTTCGCACACTCGGAAATAGTTAGTGTGAGTGTATTTTTGGATCAATTAATGCTTATGTTGTCCATAATTCTAATTTGTGCTTAACTACTTAATCAAGCATATATAACTTTAGAGGGTGTCATTTGTCTATAATTCTAATTTGTTCCAATTTGTTTTCTTTAGGCATGTTTGTTCCAATTTGCTCATAGTAGCTTTAGGCATATTTTTCTTTTCCTTTTACGTTATTTTGTAAAATTTTTACTTTCTATAATTTATTTCTTTTTAATCAAAGTATAGGAATTTACTGCAGAAACCTTTGAAACTACTTTTACTACATTATTTTGAAACCAATTATAAGAGATACAAGGACCTCCAAAGCCCTTCTCTAGAATGGTACTTTGGTGAATGCAGTCATCAATTTTGCTTTAGAGGATGTTGTATCTAGGTGTTTGAATCTAGTGGAGTCCTCTTTATTCTCCTCCACCAGAGGAGGTAATTTGTTGTTTTTCTTGGTGAGGCATTTATGTGGATAGTCTCTTGAAAAAGAGACAAAAAGGAATGGATATGATATGTGGGATGCCAATGTTATTCTGTAAAAGTATAGAAACAAACCGTGGCCCAAACCTGATTTTTTCCTCACTAGAAGAAGGCGCAAGATTCAAGTCTGATCCAGAGCACCAAAAAATGGGGAATTATGGTTACTCTCTTTTGAGTTTGATTATTTTTAGCTCTCGATGCATTAAAATATATTGTTAGTGGCCTGCAGCAGTATCCAGTAGGTCATTAAGATTTGACTTCCCTTCATGCGTCCACTGATGCAGCATTTGGGACAAACATTCCAACTCCTAATTGAAGTGTGGCCAGTGGCTTTTTGTGGTTCAATTGTTTTTTTTGTTGTGCTCAATTATAAAGAAACTGAGGATAAGGGTTAAGTTTTGTTGTGTTGTATTGTATTGTATTGTCACCACTGATTATATCATTGGACACCTAACACCATTATAAGGGAAATGAGGATAAGATTGAAGTCTTGTTGGCAATGTTGTATTGTATTGTTACCATTCATTATATCCTTGGATACTTGGCACCGAATGCCTAAGGAGGCATTTTTATGGATATATTGCTTCTGTTAGTGTCATCATATGTCTTTGCAAGTTGAGATTCATAGTTGAAGAGTAAATATGACCCACCCATATGTTATTTCAGATTATCCAATGCATTTGTCATTGAGCACCTCTTGATTCTAGAATTGAACAGGAAAAGTAAGTTTTTTTATGTTTCTGTTTTTGGTCCTTTATCACTCACAATGAACTCTTTCTCCTACAGGTTCTTTTGGGGTTCTCTGTCCTTGTTGGTGCTAGTGCTTGGGTGGATCTACTGGTGCGTCTAAAGTATCATTTTTATTTTCATAATTGATAGATGAGTTTGCTTTTTAATTATTAATTTTTAACTTACAATAAGCTGCACTAAACTGGCTAGACTCAAAACCCACATAATAGTTTGATTAAGATGAAACCAAGTTTGGGGATTACATGAAGTGAGTAGATTTGTTTTGCAAAGTGATGGCAAGGCTTTTGTGAGTCACTTCTAATGAATTTTAAATTCATACATTTTAAATTTGGATAATTTTTTTGAGTAATTTTTCTGAATAAGTAGTATTTCTAATTTACTGGCTTTTAGCTAATAATTTTACAAGGAACCCAATAACATGATTTCGTATGAATTATTTTACCTGATAAACTAAGATCATAATAACTATCCTTAATAGTCCAAAGTAATGATGAACCATATTACATACACAGTAATTATGTTCCCTAATCCTCATTAATATATTAGTAAGAGTAATAATTATGTTTCTAAACCCTTTAAAGATGTTACTTATACTATTATGAGAAATTAATTTCTTTATTTGTCTTATTTTACACTATTATGAGAAATTAATAATAAATTTGAAGATGGGTTGTTTCAGGCAAAGAAGAAAATGGTTGAATTAGTACATAAAATCACTAATTCTTGAGGTCGTAATTTGTGAGTATTATGATTGTTGTCACATTAGGTCATAATAACTCGTAGAGACTTGAGTGTCCAGGAAAAATCTCCCCAACTGTCGATCAATTTTATGGTGGAACATAGAAATAAGCTGCAAACTCCTCGCAGAGGGCTTCTTCTATGTTATAAAAATTAATTGTCAATTATTTTCTTGTCTCCACATTGAATATTTTCACATGTGGCAGCTATACTTACTCGGGAGAAACAAGTGAAGAGTTTGACAGGGATGATAATACTTTGACACTCATAAAGCCATCTTCTATGCCTTCAAAGGATATTCGAAGTCCACTTGAAGTCGGATCAGTACATGGTGGAAACAACGGGGTATCGAACGGTGATTTGGAAGAAGACAAGACAGAATAATTTGAAACACAACTCTGATTGATTGTGAGAAGCTATTTAACTCTGAATGATCATCATGATGATATGAAGTTGCTACATGTAGAATTTATGTGAGAGGATAGGGAAAAAGCCATTGGAGGGAATATGATGAAGCTTTCTTTATTTGTTCTTGTTCTTTTACTTTTCCCCCCCCTCTAATTCTTTTTATCTTGTTTAATTGGATTATAGCGTACTGTATGGTTCCAAATGTATCATCTGTTGCATATAGTTTAGGCTCATCTTTGGATATAGTTGGAAGACAAGTGGTATTTTTAATATTATAAGCCATATTAGTGTGCTTTCTATTCCTTTTTAATTTTTTTGGGCAAATTACACTTCTTGACCATTTTGATTTTAATTGATGTATTTAAAGTCTGAATTGTTTCTATTCTTAGGTATGCAATGCATTGTTTCTTATTTTTAATTTTGTTTTCAAGCTTAGTTTATTTATTATTTTAATAAACATCAATTATTAGTTCTTGATAATTGTTTGACAGGTATTTTTTTTGTTCAATCATATAAAAATTAGCACAATTTAAAAATTAAAAAAAAGGCTATGGCGGCGTTTAAAAAACGTCACTATATCCCACCCCAACGGTTAGATTTTTAAAATATATGAATGTCTATGACGGCGTTTTCAAAAATGTCGCTAAATGTCATAGTGATGTCATAGTACAGCTACGGGTAGGACATTTGGCGGCGTTCTATACTAATGTAACGACGTTTTTCAAACGCCATAAAGTTATAGCAACGGCCGCGTCGTCGGCGTTTGGTAGTAAGCGTCACAAAAAGAAATAGCGACGTTTTTAGTGCTTTTAGCGGCATTTTTTAAACAGCGCTAAAAGTAGATTTTCCATCAGTGGATTGAAGGTTTTATTTGGCCCTTAAATCTGCCAGAACATTGTACGAATTTTTAGACAATTTTATACTCACAATTTGAAGATGATTTATACTGAAAAATTGTTTAGAATGATGTCTACTTCATCCATGCATTTTTTCAACAATTATGGAGTTTTGTACGAATTTATACAAATTTTTAACCAAATCTGGAGCTATAGGCAGATTTTACTATGTGTTTTAAAAATCATTAAAAATTTTATATTAAACCAAATTTGGTAATTTCTAAACAAAAAATGAAATTTGAGAAGTGTAGTTTCATAATAAAATTTTATATTATAGAATTGATTTATAAATTTAAGTATGGAATTAATTTGAGAAAATGTGATAAATCTGTGTCATAAACTTTCTTGGAATTTTTAAGAATTATTTATAATTTATTTTTGGAAAATGCTTTCTGAACAATGACCATAACATGTTTATTGAGTATTCTGTAGATTTATATGAATTTTAGAGTTGTATAAGTAATTTATTTATAATTTTATTTGTGAGATACACATTCCGAAAATTTTGACAAATTTAGGAGGAATAAAAAAAAAAAAAAATTATCTCTTCAATTGTTTATTTGGATTAAAAATATAATATTGTGCTAGTCTAATCTTGTAGATTAAAAATCCATACATGTGTGCAATTATGATTTATTTCTTTGTTTTGGTATCTAAATTATTATTTCATATCATGGTTTAAATAAATTGTTTATTTAAATTTTGTACAATTATTTATTATTGTGTGACATGTGTAATATTTTGTGTTGAGAATTTTAATGAGTTAGTATAACATTATATGTAATTAAAAATTGGGATAGTTTGTGATTAATATCAAAACTAACTGAAATAATTAACGACATATACAAAGTTAACAATTGACGGTTAATACCAGTTGTTCAGGGTGAGTCCTGATTTTAAAGAGTGTACGAAATTAAGGGTTGACGGTTAATACCTGTTGTTCAGGGTGAGCCCTGGTTTTGAGAATTCTTATGTAAATTGTGTCGTGAAACCCTAAGATGGCACGGGACTTATTTGAACCCTTATCGGTATTTGGTTTTAGAATAAGGGTGGATGTGCGGGTGGCACGCAGGGAGGTTACATACCCCTGGCAGATCGTTCCCTTGGGGCAGACCATGGATACCACAGTTTGGGTATATAACTCTGAGTGTGGGCATCTTTGGTAGTTCTTTAATATTTGACCAATGGGGGGTTTCCAAATTAACCGTGGCCATGGCTTAGTGGTTAGTAAGAAAATCTCTTTGGTGAGATTTTGAGTGTCACCTAAATTATGAAAATTGTCAAAATTATTATAATGGTTGTTACATTTATCATGCTATTGAATTTTACTATTATTTTAATTGTCATGATTTCATTATTTTTCTCTTAAAAAGAATGGTAGGTTGGTTATGTTTTCTTACTGTGTTGCAAAACTCATGGCATATATTTTTGTTGCCTTGGCGTTTTATGCCAGGTTTTGGCGAGGAAATAATTGAAGCTGAAATGGAGTTGACACTAACATAGAGCCTTGGCTAACTTGAAACCACGACTAGAGTCAAATAATTTTTATTATCTTATGTATTAGATATGAAGGACTTTATAATTTCATTTGATGTGTGTTTGGATAATTTTAAGTTTTTATTTAATATTATTTGAGCCTTTGGTTATGTACGAGAGTTAGAATGTCCTATTAAGAGGTCAACTTTTTGATTTTGTTTATTTAATTTCCCTTGATGTTCCAAAAAAATTTGGAGCGTCACAATTAACTAGTGCTAATGAAGTTTGATTAAGGATATATATATATATATATATATATATGTGGAAGCTAAGTGCACTTAAGCTCATTATTTTGAGCTCAAAATCTGAAATGCACTCCAGAGAGAGAGAGAGAGAGAGCCCCGATTATAGAGAGAGGGAGAACACAATTTGAAGAATCTAGCTCAAGCTTGGAGGATTGAAGAGAATTCACTCAAGAATTGGCTATAATTAGAAGAATTGAAGCTCCTAGGTAAGTAAATGAACTTAAATTCTTGAGTTTAAGTCCATAATTACATGAATTCTAGCATGATATGTGACCAAGAACAAGATTTGAGCTGAATTTGATGAAATTGAAGCTTATATAGACATGCATGTAAGCTTTTACCATGAATATGTACATTTGTGCTTGTAGCATGTTAAACAGGTAGAATTAGTGGATAAGTTAGACATGCATCCATGAATTATAGGACTATGGAACTTGGTTGCATGATTTTTGAAGCTATAGAACTCAAACCCATATTTTAATGATGATAGATGGGAATTAAGTTGAGTTCATGCTTGCATGGGAATTTAGAACGATGATTTGCCAATTCATGAAGTTCATGTATAAGGAATGTAATTCTTCAAGTACTAATGTTCAAATATATGTCTTTGAAGTTTTGGGTAAGTAATGTATGAAATTGGCCTTTGGAATTGAGTTTTGAGCTTCAAACAGAGTTCTGGAAAACCCAGAATTCGACTTGTTCGCTCGAGCGAGGAAAGTGTCCGCTCGAGCGAGGAAAGTGTCCCTCAAGCGTGAAAGTCGAGCTCCCATAAGTTTTGCAGAGATTTGCACAGTGGCTTGAGCAGCAAACTCTACGCTCGAGCGAACCCTCTTTTGCAAGACTCCACGCTCGAGCGTGAAATTCATGTAACCAGTACTTTTACATAGTTTTGCAGTCAGCGACCAAAGCTGTGCTTGAGCAGAGAGCCCTGTTTCATAAATTTTGAAAAGATGTTTTATGTTTCATTTTGCGTTCTCTTTCATTTCTAAGCGCTATTAGGCATGCATTGGACATTCTAAATGAATTAAAGGACACGGAAGAAGCCTAAGAATGTTAAGGAAACTAAAGAACGGATTGAACAGTATTATGACCCAATGTACTATGAATTATGTAGGGTCAAGTACGAGGACAATCAAGCACCTGAACATGGTGAGTAATATCTTAGCAAAGATATTTTTGTATACGCATTACTTTCTAAACGATGCCTATGTGGTAAGGTTCCAAACCTTTAAATTTGAAATGAGATATACAAAGTTATCAATGTACGAGTATGAAATACGCCTAAGGCTGTTCAGTGTATTCAATGAAGATGTGGATTGGGCCTAAGGCCGTTTTGTATAATGATTAAATGGGCCGAAGGCCGTTTGGGACAAGGAAAAGATATGGACCTATGGTCGTTCAGGATACATAAATGGATATGATCATAGATCTAAATGTGTGCACACAATAAATGTGTATGTGAATTGGACCTAAGGTCATTCTGTAAGTATTGGACCTAAGGTCGTTCTGTGAGTATTGGACCTAAGGTCGTTCAGGGTGTAATGGACCCAAGGTCATTTAATATGTAAGTTGGAACCGAGGTCATTTTGCCAATGATGGACCCAAGGTCGTCCTGTATATGACATGGACCCAAGGTCATTTGTACTTCGGATATGATTTAAAGGACCTGAGGTCATTTTGCTTTAACATCGAGTACTAAGCGTAATGATGAACTGTGATTATAAGAATCTTATTCATGAACTCCTTTGTTTTGATATTATTCACTGGGCGTCAGCTCATTGTTTATATTTATGTATGTAGATGAGCAGCGCGATGTCCAGCCCCAGCCCCAGTGAGCAATGAGAAACCAAGTTTTGAGAGATCAACCAAGATCGCCTCACGCAAGAGGCCTTACTTTTGATTTACTTCTCCTTTGATCTTTTGCTTTTGATCTTTTGTGGTCATGTATGACTAATCCTGTGTATAACCTTGGTTTTTGTTAATACTAGCTTTGAATGATCGTGGACGTAAGTATTACATACTTAATATGAATGTTCATATGGTGTGAGTTATTATATGAATATGAGAATGTTTTGGTTAAACCATGTATGCACAACTCATTGGACAATCTTTGTAAATTTTGCTTCCGCAATTTAGCTCCCTATTATTAAATATGACTCAATTTCTGACTGAGGCTGTGGGTAATCTCGTGGTTACTGGCCGGTTATGACTCTAATCTATAGGGGCGGGTTTGGGTCATGACACTCATGGAATCATGCTTTGACATGGTAACAACCACACTTATGCGATATGCTAAAGC